GCCAGCATTTCAGAAGTGGTTCTGCCATATAGTAAAGTCCATTCATAAGCACATCCAGCACAAAGGAATGAGGGCAGTAGAGGTCCACCTGCATAAGTACTGACACAATTTTCATCAACAAAACAAATATAATATAGCAATTATATGCTTTGACGATTGTTTGTTGTAATTCAAAACCTTAGGCGTGAAGCTTAAGGACCCTTAAGAGTGATTCCGAGTTTTCTTCTTTCTTAAATATTATGCATCTAAACACTATTTGTAATGTTCATAACCCCTAAATCCTACCAATTTTGGCTATACATTGCTTAACTACATCAAATAGCATGTTTAAATACATTTCATTTCAAATAGAAAAAAAAAATCCTAATGTCTCGGTGCAATTAAAAATTGTTTAGTTGGGCTTTCTGAAGACAAGCATTTGTCATTAACGACAACTTTGTTTTTCTACAATTGTCATTTTGGGAGTTAAAACACTCTTTGCTTATACCCTATTGTCGCATAAGTGTCATGAAGTGGATTTGTGGTCCCTTTTGTCCTTTGTCATTATGAAACTATGGGGTCCTTCAACGAAATACTTATCGTTTTACACCCATTTAATATAAATACAAATATTACGTAATCTAGTGGTTATTTCATAAATTTGAATTAAAATTTGTAATATTTGTTAAAGCCAACTATAATCAAGTTGACCAAATCGAACCAGATATTTGGATTGGATATCCATTTTTTAATAAATTCAGATATGAACTACAAAAATAAAATTCATCGAATATTCAAATCAAATTTGGGTAGACTTTAAATCGGATTCCGATTTGGATTAATGTAAACCTAGGAAGCCCGAAGTCCGACTCTCAAGCTGGTGGCATATCCATGCTGGACACCTACATTCCTTGAACTCAATCCGACACGTGTCAAATACTCTTGTATCGGTGTCCAATACGCTTGTATCTGTATCCATAACAAAAAGATTAAATTTTAATTTTTGGACACATACTAGACACTCCTTTGATTGGGTATCTGACATTTCTTTAGGTCATGCCCACCATTAAACAAGAAACGCATGTAATCAACAAAGCTTAGATTTTTAACAAATGGTTGTCATGTTAAAGTTGTACTTAAAATTACAAATAAAAATAAACGATACATAAAAGTTTTACTAAGGAAGAAAAATGGTGTTTATTTAAACTTCGATGATTATAGACTACTATGATCCATTACAAATTTTATACTAAATGACTAGTAATAAGATTTATTTTTAACCTGACATCTAAACCATAATTATTTATAACGTTTCTCCGTTTTGTCCGTGTCCTACATGTTTAAAAAAAGTCATATTCACTTGTCTGTGTTGTATCCTTGTCCTATGTTCGTATTCATGCTTTTTATGTATAAACTTAATCTAAATTTGATCCATTGACAAGTGTACTTATAACTATAAGTATTAACCTCACAAAAAAAAATTAATAAGCAATTAATTAGTAAAGAAATGAGAAGGTAGCATTGAAGTTGACCAACCTTCAAACATGAATGTCGCGCTTTGTTCCAATCTATTTGGTCATAGGGTTGTGTGTAGAGTTCTTTTCTCAATGATAAAATGAGACTGGTGATGTGCCCCACAAATCTCTTTCCATACAAATATGACACAGGCATGTAAATTTCACGACAGAAGCACCACATTTTTGCTGCATTAATTTAAGAAGGCAAGAGAAAAAGTGAATGGCACTCAAGTTAAGTATAAGATATATTCATGAAAACATGCGGATTAGAACCATCTATAATATATTAGATTTGGTGATTCCTCTGAAGTTTAATCTCTTCATTACATCTTATGGGTTTTTTTTGTGGAGTCTAGTTTGTGTGTAATCTAGATGATGATCTGATCCGACATAATATTGCGTGATTTTTAATGAATTTTTTTTGAGATTTAGTCCATGGAGCGGAGAATATTTTTTTTGGACCCGTTTTATAGTCCTATGCACAGAACATATATAAACTGTTATTCGGTGATTAGGGTATTGGATTGATTCTATACGGTCACCGCCCTCTCTGTATTCTTTCTTGAAAATAGTGAAATTTTTGTTGTTTCGTGGATGCAGGCAAATTATCGAACCACGTAAATTCTGTGTTGTGTGATTATTTAAATTACATTCTTATCGTTCTTTTCATTAATTTCACTTTATTGTCGTCGTTTGATTTCACTTCAACTTCAACCCAAATTTAAAATTTGTGTTGAGATGAGTTACTCAAAATATAGGGTGCATAATTTAGAAGTCAGAAGACTGATAAATCTAATATCAGAGATGATCTGAATGCAAAAGGTCCCATTTAGTTTTGCAAGCCTTTGTCATTCTTTCTCCCCCTTTATATATATATATATATATATATATATTAAAAAACACATTAACACAATAATACCATTCAAATTTAAGCCACTGACTATTTAGCTTTTAATCTTTCCATTTTACCATATAAATTTGGAATATATTAGTGGTTATCTAACTTAATTACAAAAATGCTTAATATTCTTTTTATAGGTTCGATGAAATTTGTTATTATCTTCGTTAATGTTAAATTTTCAAATGTATAAAACCTATCATATTAAACTTTCACATGATCGATGGTAAAAGTTTTTATCTTCAACAAAACGGAAAAAATTAATTCACACATCAAATTAATAAGATGCAAAAAATATTTGTCGATATATTAGGTAGTCAGTCTAGGTACGTTACACCTCTAGTTCGATATATTAGGTAGTTTATCTCTAGGATTACAATACTATCTCACAACCTATAGCCATGAATTTCTTTTACCTGGATTAAACGGAAGAAATGAAAATGAAGGGATTAGCCAAAATTCTGGGGGCACTGGGTTGCAACCTGACCACTCATACACCCCAAGCACCTACAGTAAAGAGAGTGATTGCAAATCATACATATCTATATAATAAAATAACTTATAATTTAAATTTCAAAAGATAAACAAAATGATTTTTGTTATTCGCGGCTCAAATCGCTTTAAATTTTACTTTAAAATTAATCTAATAGCTAATATTAATAATTTAAATTTAATAGGAAAAATAAGCCTCTAAAGACGTGTTTAGAATGACTTTTTAAAAATAATTATAAGAATTATTTCTCATAAATACTTAAAAAAAAATAGTGTTTAAAACCGTCTCACCACTACTTCTATTACCACCACCCCCACCACCACTACCTCTACAACCGCCACCACCACCGTCGCAGCCGCCGCTGCCACCGCTGCCACCACCACCGTCGTCGACCCCCCACCTCCACCACCACCACTGTCACCGTCATAGCCCCCACCACTATCGCCCCCACCACCGCCACCACCACCGCTATCACGGTCATTATCACCCACCACAATCATTACCGTTTTCTACCACCATCACTACTGCCCACCACCTCTCACTCCTACTACAACCAATACTTAAAATCATTTATCTCTTATCTATATTTGTAATTTGATTTTGGATATGAATGTAAATATGTTTATTGTTTACTATTTTTTTATTACTTTGTATCTTCAAGCACAGGTAATAATTAATAATATAATGAAATACAATACAATTCAAATTTTAAAAGATAAACAAAATAATTTTTGTTATTCGAGATTGAGATATCTTTAAATTTTACTTCAAAATTAATTTGATGATTAATATTAACACTCCAAATTTAATATGAAAAATAGGGTTTTAATGGTGTGTTTGAGGTGACTTTTTAAAAGTATTTTTAATACTTATAACTTCTCATAAGTACTTTAAAAAGAATAGTAAATAGAAACCGCCCCACTAACACTTCTACCACCACCAGCCCCACCACCCCACCACAATCACCATTACCATCACCGCCACCCCACCACCACCACTGTTGCCATCTTACCACACTCATCGTCTCACTACCATCATCACGACCACCACTACTGCCACCCCACCATCACCTCTTCTACAACAACAACAACCACCACCCACCACCTCCATTATCATAACCCCACCACCACCACCGTTGCTGCCACCATATTACCACCACCACTATCCCACCATTAACCTTACCACATCACCCCTACTGCCTCCTAACCACCATCACTATTGTCACCTACAGCTGCCACCATTACAACTGGTTGTCATTATCCATCATAATTATTATTGTTGACCACCACCACCACTGTCGTCCACCACCACCACTCGTCCACCACTACTAACACCACTCGCGCCCCGCTATAACCAGTGTTTAAATTCATTTATTTCTCTTCTATTTTTGTAATTTTATTTTAGGCGTGAATACAATTATGTTTATTATTAATTATTTTTTTATTATTCCATGCCTTCAAGTATGGAAAATAACTAATATATAAATACACACACATAAGACTACTAAACTTCTAGACCATATTGAAAAGGCACCTTAAATTATTACTTTGAGTTGCACATTGCTTCAATCGTTGATTTGTCATGTTTTTGCATTAATTCAAGATAAAAATGGGAATCCACAACGTCGACAGATGCTGCCTTTATGGTGAAATTCTATATTTTTTTACTCTGATTTGTATTAAAAATTGGGCAAAAGTCAACAATTGGCAAAATGTGAAACTCAAACTAATATTTTAAGGACTAATGTGAAAAAATTATAGTATAAAAGTTAATGTGAAACGAGTTTTATAGTTGCGATATAAATTAAGTAAAATATGCTCTTCTTGGTATATAAATTTACCGAAAGCCAAATCTTTCCCCAAGTGGGTATCATTGTTACACCACCATGATCAAGAATCCATTTCCGGCCCTTTGCAACAGCTCCATCACCACCTTCTTCAGCTCCTTCCCCTAGTAAACGTAACCCAATGTAGTTATAGGTTGTACTGAGCATCGTGCTATGGCTTTCTGTATGGAATCCCCATCCGCCATCTTCATTCTGCGTAACACATACATGCAATTAGTTTCAGATACAAATATTTACTATAAGAGTGTGAAGAGATCAAGTTAGTACCTGATGATTGTAAATGTGTCGGATAATCTCCTTCATGTGTTCTGGCGATAGGACAACATTGAGTGTTCCGGTGAGGTATAGAGCAATGATCTGCATATCGTAAGATTTCTGACAACTTGGTTAAAATATGGAAAAATGATCTGCTTATTGTAGCAACGCATAACTGTGTATTTTCACAAAAAAACTCGATTTTTCTCTTCTACGCACGGTCTCGAAGGGCATGTTTGTTTCAAGGAATTAGTTGGGTGGGATTGGAGTCTTCTTTCCAACCCAATCCAGGCCTTTAGGTTTGTTAGGCATTAGATTACTATATGTTACCATTCTACACCATGAGATTGGGCAAGTTTTTCGCAATATATGTAAGTCCTACAAAATATAATGATTGCATTAGAGATTGATTTGAATGTCTGTTATTATGTGGTATTAGAAAAGGATAATATGATAATTTATATTTCTTTTGGTCCCCACAAAAAAAAAAAAAGAAAAGATGTTACTTGTTGTCAATTGACTTTAATACCCTTGACTTGGTGTAAAACATAGGCATTAGAAGGGGTAATGTTGTAATTTATTACTGTAATACCATGTGTTGGTTTATTACTTCATTATTATACCACCCCTACGATGGTATTAATTAAACCCTCTTATATGGGTATAATTATACTGTACTGCCGGCCGATGCTATTTTTGAATTTTTGCACCAGGCCAACAATGGCATAATAAACAAGGTATAAGTGGCCATAGGTACTATTTTACTTTATTTCACCCCCTAATACCCTTCTTATCCGCAAAACAAACACACCCTAACACGAATATAAAGAGAACTTACCATGGGAGTTGTATAAATCAATGGACCTGAATTTTCTGAAGGCCAGTGGCCATCGTGAGCTTGGATGGCTGAAAGTAATCGAACGGCTTTAGTCAAAGACGTTGTAACTATTTCATGGGTGACTTCTTCAGTTTCTCCGATTTCCACTGGGGGTATGGTCAGATCAATCTGGTTTTCTTTGATGAGCTGTGCATTAAACTCGAAATGAGTCGATATAAAAACCATGAAGGTACAAATTTGCATTTAAGTTAATTCACTTTGTGCAAATAATACGATAATTAGAAATGTACTCAATTCATTGATAATTAACAAGACTGAATTAGATAACATGCATAGAATTTATACAGTCAATACAAGTAATTGACATAAAACTTTTTGAGTTGAGTTGGGGTAATTGGACTCAAGTTTCGCCCCTTGAAGGTTGGTCCCTCAACTTTGAAATTTCTAGTTCCCCCGGCTTCTTGGAAAGGAAAATGATATTTACATTTAATTTTATAATCTATCGCACGGCAAATCCAATAACCAAAATGCATTAAGTTGTCACATTTAGGTCCCAATGGCATCGCTCTCTTAGAAAAAACAACAAGAGATAATAGCATAGAAAAAGTCATGTCACTTCACCAAGGCAACAACAAATACATGTTTGGCCCCCACAAAATCATGTCACTTCCACCCCCCAACAAATAACTTAAAAACAGCACAAGAAGCAGCTTTTAAGATGGTGCAATAACACAATTCTACAGTCAGCATCCTTAGGTTTATGCATACCTGCATTCGAACCAGAATATCACTGCTAGGTCTAATTCTGAATCGATTCTTACGATATTCTTCCCGAGCTTTTTCAACTTGTGCTCGCTCCGTTGGAGTCCCGAGATCAGGATCATACTCCCAAATTTGTCTACCAAGAAAGTTGTTGGTGCTGAACAACCATGGCCCATGGCCTTCGGCGACCTTGAGTTTCCACATAGTCTGCCTGCATTGGATGCATACATTGAGGTACAAGAAAAATATTTCCGAACAATTTCGGTTTCTTCATTGAAAAAATGAATGCAACATGCATGTAAAGCATATAACAAAACTTAAAAAAAAAGTAGAAACTGGGAGTTTTTTTATCAAACCATGTGATTTGGCAAAATAATTTTCACAATGTAGTTTTGAAATTATTTCTCAAATGTATTTTATTTTTAAAAATATAGAAACGTTTTAAAGCTAAAGACGTTGGTATAAATAACGCCTTACAAAAACGTAGAAACCCGCATGGGTGGCCCAATAGTATAGGGTTGGACTTAAATAAATTATAAACTCGGACGTTAGCAATTCAACCCTCGCTGTCTCCTGGGCTTAACTGCTATATGTGGTTTATGGGGTGATTACAGATATCTGGAGTTTATTCTCGCATAAATGAGTCTAATGTAATTCTACCTTGGAGAATGGTGTCAGTTCAACTAACATTTTAGTTCGAAAAAAATCTCTTTTTTCCCTTCTACTCATCATATCCATTTTACCATTGCATTCGGTTGAAGAAGGTGCTAAAAATATCGGTTCAACTGACATTTTAAAGGACTATAACTAAAAATTGCACATAGCAAACATAGTTCTGAATAACGGTAACGATCATTGTAACGGTAATGATAACGGAGTAATGGACACGGGATGAAATGGGTGTTACGTAACAATAATGGAAATCGGGAACATGAATTTTTTGTTTTCGATCATACCTCTCCCAAAAAGCAAATTTATGCATTTTTAACTCCAAGTGTATGTAAATATAGGCCTTTTGTGATATGTTATACATTTTATTGTATCATAAATAATGTTTTATGAATTTATCTTTTAATCATTGTATGATAAAAGATTTCTAGTGACTTTTAATTGAATGCAATCCACTTAAATATTTTTGGGAGAATTTAGAAACCATAGCCAATTGAAATTTTATCAAGAATATATTTTTTTTAATTATGACTATACATTCCTAAAAGATGAAAAAATATTAGCAAAATACAAATAAAAAAACTGTTAATTTTATTGGGCCAAAGCTAAACTCATTTTCTACATTTGGGCTAACTTATATCTCTTGGTTTCACAACAAAGGGCAACTTGTCTTTTCACACATAATAACCAAGCCCTAAAACTAATCTCTTCTACCTCATTTTCTCCGCCGTCCATCTACAGAGGAGTACCAGCATAATAGAGCCCCTCCAACCTCAAAAACTACTGCCGTTAAAGAGGGACCAGGTCTACACATTTCTTTCTCTTAATCTCTATTCTTCTCCTTTCATATATTTTCTAGTTTTCTAGTAACAAAAGCAAGGGTCGTTGATGTGTAATGACTGTTATGGCTAAGTAACGGGATGTAACACTGCCATAACACCCGTTACAGCTCGTTACGCTGCCGTAACACCCGTTACGAGTGTGAATATTTTTCTGACCGTTAAATCGGAGTGTAACAGTATCGTTAATCTCCGTTATTGTTACGTAATGACCGTTACACACCGTAACGGCCGATTTTCCGAACCATGATAGCAAGTTAGTTGGACAAACACTTCTATGTTGAAAGCATTAGCTGGACTGACTATACGAGTTTGTAAAATAGTTTCAAAATTATCCCATTCTAGGAATTATTTTGCCAAACCACATGGGTTTGGTAAAAAATTCATAAACTTGAGACATAACACTAAAATGGCTTCAAATTTGTATACCCTGTATTATTAAAGTAGTGGCGCAGAAAGTTTCTACAGGCAAAAAACGTAGGCCTTATGCTTACGCTTATGTATAAATGTTTTCGGGTATGTTAGATTTGTACTCAAACTCTCTCCCAGACCTCATTAGCGAAATCTGAACTGGGTGTTATTTTGTTTACTTCAAATTGGAAAACCACATGCAGGTAAGAGAGGGAGAGGGAGAGAGAGAGAGAGACCTGATTGAGAAAGATGAAGTAGTGATCAGCACCCGCTGTGTAGGTTACAAGAAGGTTATTGTCGTTGGACAATGATATCACTCAAGAACTAGATAAAATAGACTTCCGAGAAGCAAGCAAACCTGCAGTTATGATAGAATATTTTGTACATTCAATATTTTTTTTTTGATAAATCAGGCATCAATATTTCTTTTATGCAAGAAAATCAAGCATACAGCCACTTAAAGCAAAGAGTAAACTAAACATATGGCTCTCAAATTATGATGAAAAATAGCGGAAATTATGAGTGAGAAGAATTGCAACTCTCCTTGCACACTAGAGAGAGAGAGGCACTCTGCATTGCACATCCGATGCACGTGCCATAACCAAGCATGAAGCAACTAGACAAGCCTCTCTCTCTCTCCCTCCCTCCTCATCAACACAGTATGGAGGCCTTTGCTTGCCACCATGGCGGAGTTAATATGTAGTAAAGCCGTTGGCAGATGCCTAGTAATTGGGATGACATCGTTGGTACCATATAATAAAATATTTTTTATTTATTAATTTTTGTTTGATTTATTTGTGACCAATGAGTTTGAAGATAATAAATTAAAATAATAATAATAAAATTTAACAAGCATTACTTTGTGATCGGAAAAATTTAAAAAACTATCATATAAAAAAGTTATTTTTTAGTACTATAATTTCCAGTCGGGACCTCCGGAATGCATGGAACACCATATTCTAATTAATTTGATGCTCAGACATGGACCCTTGCCCATTACTTCTTTTTTTCTTTTAACGGAAACCCATAACCGTTATTGGGACGCTGAGTAGGTGAGAGTATCATAGTTTATATCCATTCATAAATTGGATAAATTATTGTCTGATCTCTTCAACAAAGGTCCTGGTTTCATTTTATCTACTCAAACAACGAATTTTTCATATTATCACTCATCTACTTAAAGTAAAAGCCTGTTTTCAAAATACATTTTGATGAATAAGTTTAAAATTATAATCCTTGGATAAATAAGTTCTAAAATAATGATGGACTGATAATTTATGGGTTTATTACAGTTGTGGTCTCCAAAGTATACATTTTGTCTCATTTTAATCTCCAACGTTCTAATTGCATCAAGTTGTCCCTCATGTATTACATTTGCACTTAACTAGTCCCCGCCGTTGACGCCATCCACAATTCTCATTGTTTATAACCATGTGTCATCCGTGTGAGAAAATGTGAGGGGCTTATGTGACATTTAACCCTCCACTCATTTCTCGAGGGAAACATTCCCGCCAACAATTGTTGTTTTATCAATTTTTATCTGTTACAG